GAGTTTCCGTTGACGTAGTTCCTCTCCTCGCATCGTGTCCTGTTCGGTGATTACCGGATAATAGTGTCGCCTCTAGCTGTGACAGTCACCATCAGTTACATTTCAAACGAATTGTTGAAATGCGATTGTTAAAACGTTAATGCCCTTATAAAGAGGAATTTTAAATGACACATCATTAATATAATGTATATTGTACAGCCGTTCGAAACAATGAAATCATTGATCGAAAGCATTGCCTGTACACCGGCGCAGGGCACCAAAAAGAATGTTTTTGCGGAAGGAAGCATGGATGAACAGGTGGTATTGCCATCAACAAGCAGAAGCAATAAAAAACCAAGTCCAGTGAGAGGTACGAAACGCGGTTGGCGGAATCCCGACATGAACATGAGTCCAAAGCGTCCAAAACTCAATACAGGCAAGTGCAATCATTTTCCTCATTTCTGCAGGAAAATTCATATTGGGCTTGAGCCGCAGAAGCTTGCAATCTTTTCGGATTTTTTGGGAGGTCAATTTGACATCGAATGGTGGCCGGAGGGGACAGAACTTCAAGATCATTGCTGAATGCACAGCATCAAATTATAGACATTTTTATCCTGTTCTCCTTCCTCTTCCTCTCCTCCACGTTTATTTGCCATTTCCCTTCCTGCATTTTCTAACTGATGCCGGTATTTCCTCCTTTTTATTTTTTTCGAATTCAGCATTATCTTGAAAAAGATACTGCTGAACTCATTTTGTTGCATCTCATCTGCGATTTTCACATCTGCCATCTCTGACGACAGACAGTATTTAAAAAAAAAGCCGTAGTTCTTAACCTTACATGAATTTATATCATACAAATGAATCTGACTGTTCTTCAATATATTGAGTAAGTAAAACAGTTCTGCGTGCATGCTGCCTTAATTTACAGTCGAAACTGAAATTTTTGCCTTAAAAATTCACACTTTTTACAATATATCGGATGAGTAACTAGGACAGTTTTATTTGATTGCCATCTCAATCAGAACAGTATTTTTTTTCCTGATGATGGTGAGCATGGCGCAGCGGGAAGTATCACTTCTGCCGTTCAAAAGGCCAAGGAAATCTCCTACCAGAAGCACAGCCAGCATCTGTGTGATTCGCTCGTTTGCTTCGATAAGTACTGGGAAGTCGAAACACCATCGGTTTGCTTTTAAATCAACCCCCAAAAAAGTTAGCCGTCGCAGCCCCGCCAACAAATGGCTGTTTGTTGACATTGCTCCTATTCGATCACTTTTCGAGTCCCTGCGTCTATCATGGAAAGCAGTTACAAAGGTCGTTTTGATTTCCCCTGTCTTTAGTCATTCCGATATTTATATAACTGGAGCGAAATACTCAAAGTAG